AATGCCTATGCCGATGCCGATGTGAAGTTTTTGTAACAAAGGCTCGATGCGAATATTTGAGTACTCGCGAGAATGACTAAAGGAGTTTGTTTAGTTTTTTTTTTGTTTTTATTAAATTTGTTGCTACGTCAAGAAATTTGCCTCAGCACAGTTTTATGTACTCAGGCCAATCTATATTACAAAGATAATTCAAAAGCGCAAGATTCTCACTTGATTGAGTTCATATCGTGTGTCTAGGATTAAAGGTATCAAGAAAAAAAAATGTACTTTTCTTTTAATTTCTCCAATGAAATTTTGACCTTGAGAAAAATCTTAGATTTTCACTCGTAATTCTACTTCATTCGTAATTCTACTGATCTACAACACGCCTTTAATTCTTGGGCTTTGTGTCATGTTACTTCGATTATAAACTCGCATAAAAGAGGATTTTCTCTAAACGTCTACAACAAACCAAAAAAAAAAAACATATATATATATATATATATATATATAAGTCTGTATAAGGTAAACCTTGAATACCAACCTAAACTTTTGCATTCCTCCGATAAATACGTATGTATGCCTCATTAAGGCCAACATTTACTGCAGGTTAACCATTGCCATATCGTGAACAAAAAACAATGTGCATTTTCACGCGGGTGCTTTTAAACCGTGAAATAATTTTCTTTTTTTTTTTTCTTTTTTTGAAGAACGTGGTGGAGATTGGTAGTGTTGTCTTTGACGTCTACGCAGACGTTCACATCAACGTATTCAGTTACGGCGTAGTTAGACCAAGAACTATATTTTCGCTTTTTACTACTATACCTGCAGAACGATTATACCACACTCCCGGTACGTCATAAAATTCATTATTAAGGGAGAAGAGACTTGAATCTGTGCATGAGCGACCAATCGATTAAATCTCGTGCAAAAGCTGCACAGAGACGGAAAAAACGGTACCAAATGGTCATGGTGACAATTTTCATCTATTATCCCGTCATTGCGGGGTTACAAATTCCTCCCGTCTGGCCAAGTTATTGATAAGGAATATTACATTTGAGTGTTTTGAAGGCGATCCAATTGATATGGAAGAATAAATATACATTGCACTCACCTTATTTTCTAATTACGATTATATGAAGTTTTAACAAGACATGAACACCGATTTTCATACCGTCGTGTCGTCCATTGGAACCTCAAAATTATCATTTTTTTTCTTGTCCGCTTACCACAAGAGAAAGCAAGTTTCGCTAAGAACCATTTTCTTAATTAAAAAAATCGTAAAAATAAACTCGAGAAATAGTATTCAAAACAAAGTGCATCAGATTTCTATATATAAGCTTGAGTTAGCAAAAACAGTTTTTCTTACATATTATAAATTACGCTGCTTCATAAGGGCCTAGTTTTCCTAAAATATTCAACCGACCTTTAATATAACTCCACTGGAAGCTGTTTCTGCAGTTTTGTTGAGTATCGTAGTGTGGGGCATTTAATCACAATTCAGCTGGAAATTACATTCTCTATCAGTCTATCGCAAATCAGGAATTGAAACAAAAGATATGGCATATATGTACATACACACAATGACAGATAAGAACTCAGTTAAACTTGAAATAATCGGAAATGCGCAACTAATTATATTTTTATTTTTTTTTCCATCGTCGTATGGTTAGTTAGAGGGTAGCTTTGTCACTTTCTTAATAGTCATAAGAAATTCGTACGGAAGATATCATAAAAAATGTATACTAATGAGTATTGGTATTGTCATGATATTCCGAAATGATTCGGAACTGCAATGGATTGCTTAGTAGAAATCCTAACAGAAACCGTGATTTTCCACATTTTCACCGGAGATTCCTTTCTAAAGGTAGCGCAATTTTTTCACTTGTTATATGTCGTCATTTACGTAAATTTCATTACTATAGACTTGGGAATCTTAGAGAAAATTTTAGTAGATTAAATTAAGCAAATTTTTTGATTATACTCCAGACAGCGTTGAAAACTTCTGAGTTATCCTTACATTACGCTCTTAACCACAGGAGCCACAAAACAATGCTAAAGGATTACATTCCGTTGTGATGGAATCTCTCCTCTATACCCATCGTACATATCCAAACAAGAAAAATTAAATTTCAATACCCTACAACGTTGGGTGGGCGTGGCGAACTTACTCCACTTTTATACACGTTCCGCAGTATAATCCATAGAATATGCATCGAAATTTTCTTATCGTCTCTGTTGTAGTTTATGACGACTAGTAAGCAGTGTTGCAAGAGAATGTTTACCACAAGCATTACGCAGGCGTACATGCGTAGATCAATTCAAAATCAGGGTCAACGAAGATTCCCCTTCGCTGCCCACTTATCCCTACCACAAACCGAAATTAAATACTTCTTGGGGAAAACCTTCCAAATTGAACGGGAACATTTTCATTAATTTCAGATCATTGGCTAATATCTTAGGCGTTTGAAAAAATGTTGACAATTTTTTTACTTGGAAAAGACGTTTATTGAGAAAAATTGGTGCAACGGGCATTAATCGAAATAGTTTCCTTCATTTTCTACAATATTTTTGGCAACATGGCGATCTCATGTTGGAAGAACTTATATTGGTTTGGCAGCGATCCATTCACTGACCCATTTTCGCTCTTCTTCAATGTTGCGCATCCGCGTGTCTGCCAAGCTATGCTGCACCGATCTGAGCAAGTGTCAATCAGGAGGCGCCGTGCCTAGTGAGCACGTTAGGCAGAACTTCCTATTCGCGCTGCAACAATGCATCTTGAACGACTCTAGCAACAAGCGGCCAAAATGGCATTTTCAGTCAATTTTCGAGGTAACCGTTTCTCCTCCTTTTGGATCTCTCCGATAGCATGTAACCGTCTAGAAATAGTTGATTCATCAACGGCTAAGACACTTCAACCGTTGAAATCAAAATCGATATTTGGGATGTGATCGAGCAGCATCACCATAAGCTTCTAAACGTATTTGATGGGTTTCGGCAGCAGATCTCTTCAAATCAAATGACAAAAGAAATTTTCACGGTTCCATAATTAGCGTCGGCGTATGCTGAATCAAAGTTTTACTTGTACAAGTCGCTGATCATAATTTTTGCAAACACCAAACAGATGCTGATGTTGATATACTTACGAAATTTGTAAAGTTCAAAAATTGGAAAAATCACATCCATTCCTGGGTTCTGATATTAAAGTGTAAATGTGCTATTAAAGCTTTCGCCTGCTTTCCGTTTCGAATCGGTAATATTTGAAATTTCAATATAAACGAGAGATGAGCTGAAGGATCTTGTAATGCAGTTGAAAATAAAGATCACGACCGTTGCGAATGGCTTAAGAAAAAGTTTATTTGCTTGTTCTACGGCAGAAGAGTTGCCTGTCCTGCCGCAGTCCAATATTATATATTGTGCAGGCTTTCCATCCTTCTCAGTTATCCTAACTTGCTCTATTTCTCCCCACAACAGACTCACTGACAGCTTTCCTTTATTGATCGCACTTCCATTCTTCAACCCGATTTACAGAATTCGTTGGGGAATTTGTCATGAGATTAGTTTAGGCGGAAGAAAGTACACGAAAAACATCAGTTAATTTCTTCATAATGAGTTGTGCCAGGTCCCTCATATATTCGATATAATCTAGGCTCGCATTTGCGATCTCTTTGATAATGTAATTCCGTAATATCTTTAAATTAACAATAAAACGGTTAATTGATTTTAATTCAGTTCGGTTAAATTACCTACCCAATCGCTTTCTTTCAATTCATTTCCTTTTAAATTCAAACAATTTGTAGAATGAACGCTTCGTTAGGTTTCGCATTCATTAATTGCTATTATATGATAAAATTATGTTAAAAGTTAATGTTTTCCATGAGCACTATATAAAAATCAAATGATTTCAACCAAAACGATACTTAAGTCAATAAATGTAAAATAATTGTATTTACTGAGGAAATTCTCCTGCGGAGTTCGCAGCTAGACAAGATTAATTGGAGTAAATAGATGATGTAAGATCTAGTCATCAACAAAGTTATCTGTTCTAAAATCATTGAATCAATTGATCGGACAGATTCTATTTATCCGGATTAAAACTTTATATAATAAGAGAGATTTACATGGGAACAGATGCCATTGTAAACATTTGTCATCCTTGCTGAAGTCCTTAATTTCTCTTCTCATAGTTCTCAAGAAAAGTAGGACTCGCCTTAATATTGCCTACCAAGGAACTGTAGTGATATGAACACCATTGACGTTCACATTAATTTACTTGTTCGTTCGAATTCTGGTTAAAATGGATTGAGTGTGTTTTACTTCGATTCCAAGTGGACTTTACCTAGTGAGATTAACTTTTTCTGAAAGATTTCGAGATGACCCGTTAAAGGATCGCTGGAGTTTAGCAGTGCAGATAGTTAAATAAACTCGAACTGAGACAGCTACGTTGTGAAAGAATTCCATTGACGTCAACTCGATTATCAAAATGTATCTTGATTAAAAGTTGAACGGAGTGATATAAAGAATTTAACCTAGTTTGACGATATCCACGCTTATCCTAATACACCTTCTAAAGATGACATGATCATTTTTTTCTGAATTTTTTCTCAATGGAAACAAAGAATGACAGTTCATTTTAACCCATGCTTGTAGATATATTCTTTTGGTAAGCAAAAGTAGCGACTATTAATAGCAAAGAGAGTGGATAGTATTTTTCCGATCATGGAGAAGAAAGTAAGATAAGCGAAAAGTTGAGGTTTGTTCCCCTTTTCGAAATGCGAACTATTTCGATCATCTTCTATTTTTTGGTATTATGTTTCGAGGTCAGTACTCATTAATAAATCAAGTTTCAAATATTTACTAAAATTGACAAAACGTGTCCTATTCCCCTTTTTAATGGTTGATTACCGAATAATTCCGAAATTCTGTCAAAATATATATAAATTAAAAAAAAAAAAATCGAGACTTTCGCCATTGCGCATTCATTAAATAGTCTTTTTAAAAATGTACTAAGAAAAAATTACTTATTAAGACTAATTATGTCTAACGTTTTTTCATTTCTTTGCTTTTTTTCTTTTTTAGTAAGTTCCGGTGTGCCTCATACCATCTACAAAGGTAATCAAAAAAAATACACAAAAGAATGTATACTTATATACGATAAAGAAACGGGTGATATCACTCTAGAGAAATTAAATCATAACATACAGGTTAAGAAGACGCGGTAAGTGTGAAAGATGTTTATTTAAATAAATGAAAAGCAAAAAAAAAATTAATTATAATAATAAACAAACTTTCATATAGCAGTGAAATGACAAACAAAGCAAATGTTGTGCCAATACTGAGTGGAGGAGGGGGAGGTGGCGGAGGAGCACCAATAGGAGCCGGAACAGGAGCAGGAGCGGGATCAGGATCTGCAGGAAAATTAGAAAATAGTACCATGAGAATAACGTCCAAAACGAAAGTCTCTACAGGCAGCCGTAGAAATACGATAAGTAAGAGTTGCATGCAACATATTACGATATTCAGTTTCCCTAAACTTACTTTTCCTTGAAATTATTTTAGTTGAATTAAAGGCTCGTAATTCTCCCCTGCAAGGTTCGCCCTCGACTGGCACTTCTAGTAAAAGTCCCCAGGCAGCCCCGGTGTAAGTTTTATATATTTGCCTTCTTTCTTTTATTATTAATTTTTTTGAATATTTTTATACCCATCACTGAAGGTTGAAATTTAGGTTATATTTTCATTTCAATTAGGTTGTTAGGCCTTAGTTAATAACCAACTTAACAATGCAATTGATTAATAATGCACTATATTTTAGTATATATATAATATGTATATATTCGCCTAAGATGATGGGTATTCAAGGATCCACTGAATATAGCTTTCTTACTTGTTTTCTTTTTTTTTATTTATTTATTTACTTTATTGTTCGACATTTGGTTTTTAAAATTCAGTTGGAATGCGAATAATGGCCAATCTACTTTACCTAGTATCCCCATGATTGTGGATGACGATGAAGCTGCGTTCGGTATTAGTGGCGGTAGTGGTAGTACCAATAATCATCATTTAACCAATGTATCTTCCACTTCGTCATCAACATCAAGTCATAACAATTCTTTAAATGATTATGATTTTCAACAACAGCAACAGCAGCAAACAACACTATCTAATAAGCAATCAAAGCAATCCCACCACAATAGTGGTAATATTCATCAAAAGCGGCACAATAATCATCAAAAGCAACACAACAATCATCATCAGCAACAGCAACAACAACAACAGCAGCAGCAGCAGCAGCAATCTTTGCAAGCGCAACAGCAACAGGTGCTACAATGGCAACAGCAACTCCAAGAGCAGCAAAGACGACAGCAGCATCAGCAGCAGCAGCAGCAGCAACAACAGCAACAGCAATATAATCTTTTTAATAACAGCAATGGTGGCGGCCAAAATATTGCTAATACTTCTTCTGCTTTCTACAGTAGTAGCAATACTCATATGGCTAAATGTAATAATGATAGCAATAGCGCTAACAATCATCAAAATCAGGAACTTGCCGCATCATCCACATTAGATAGTGAAGCAGCTGCTTTGGAAATGGTAAATGTCTCTTTGCTCATTCTCTTAACTGTGTACCTCATTAAACAGTTAATTTTTTTTTTTAGAACATAGCTAATGCGCTTAGTTCGTCGAGCTCTACTTCAGATAGTGACTCCAGCGGCAGTGATAGTGGTTCCGATTCGGATGATAGCACTGAAGATGATCGATCTATGAAGCCGGCGCAAAATTCCTCGCAGCAATTGCCTAGTTTAAGTTTGGGAACCATAACCTCATCTCCTCCCCTACATATGGAATACTCGAACCATACACAAAACAGTCATCACCAGCATCAATATAATCAAACAAAACAACAACAAGATCAGCAACTGAACCCTTCAACAGTAAATTACGCGTCCAATGGTGCATTTCCCAATGATTTGCTACAAAATGATTTACAATTATCATCAAATTCGTCCGATGATGATTCTGATTAGTTAAAAACGGAAGTCTCGTTGCACTATACAAAAAAAACTAACCATATAATATATTTTTGTAAAATAGTAATAAAACATCAACAACAACAACAACCACAACAAAACGAAACAAAACACAAAAATCATATTTTCCAGGTTCTAATGAGCGAATTTTTAAAACGAAGTCGTTCTTGTTGTTTTTGTAAAATTTGAAATTTTGTACTTTAATTATTTTTATAGTAGAGAGATAGTGTTCGTCTTTCGTTCTCTTATTTATCTTTGCATTAAGGAGGGTTTACTTTTTGTTTTCTTTTTATCTTTAAGATTTTAACTTAGTGTGAATTTTTGTTTATTATTAATAATTACTAGTAATCTAATTATTTTTTTATATATTATGCGAATAAATTTGAAGCAACTTTGTTAAAATTCGTTTTCTGTTTATATTTATTAAAAAAAAATTAACTTCCATTTTTTCCCTCCATCCCTGTTTTAATAACAACTCTTTAGTAATTAAGCGAATTAGTCAGCACAACAAAAGAGAAAGCAGCGAAATCTTAGGCAAGTAAAATTTAAAGAGTCCAGTTAAAAAAAATAAGATAATTTTTTTTTTGCATATTATTTAAAAAAAAACATATTCTAATATTTAAATAAATATAGAAAAGAATTTTTAAAAAGCAAATCAAAAACTTCAATTTCTACATAGAAATTTTGCATAATCATAGTAAACGCTTTCGCGAAATTTCGACGTGCCGTTTATCGCGTCGTGTTATTCCAAAATAATGATAGTTCATTTCCTCGTTGAAATTTTAAAGGTTTCAATTTCAATTATTATCGCCTAAAACTTGTAATTAGCGATTGTGGAAAAATTTGATCACCAAAAATTGCTTTATTAAAGTTTCTATTAGGCATATCCAAAATCCCTATAAATAAAAACCCTTTATATCTCAAAGGCACAGAATATTATCAGGGTTATAATATCATGCAGTGTTTATGCTAAGTACTAAGTTGCATTGCTTCGCCTTGAAATTTAATTTGAAAGAATTTTCAGCCCGATGTATACCTTGCTGGCTTGTTTTCTTGGACTTGGTTTGATTTATTTACTTCATCAAATGGAGATGTTTCATCAGTGAAGATTCGTTTGCGATTTTCTTTAGGTTGTTTTCTTCTTGCTTAAGCAACGACAATATTAGCGTATGTTCAGTGATCATAAAAATGCAAATCTCAGAACATATGTTTTCTCTTTAATAGTTTGCTACCTTGTGTTTATTTCTGAATCATTCCAAGGAATTGAAATTTCTGAATTTTATAAATTAAAGAATTATATCTTTCTACAAAAAAAATGGGTGAAACAACAGGTCTGACTAATTCTGAAGCTGAGGAATTATGCAAAAAATCCCCCGATTCCTCTACGAAGGTAGGGCTTATACACAATTGGCATAAGCGCAAGAATATGAGAAATTTTTATATTTTCAAAAGGACTTTATTTTTCAACAAACAATGTATCGCATTAAAGATCCTCGAAAATCATTACCTTTCTATACCGGGGTTTTGGGTATGACCTTATTGCAGAAATTAGATTTTACCGAAGCAAAATTTTCTTTATACTTTATGGGGTTAGTATTAAATTTAAACAAAAAAAAAAAAAAAAAATGTAAAAAGCAATGTCTTTTTCAGTTATGAGAACTCCTCTGACGTGCCAAATGATTCCAGCGAGCGGACAAAATGGGCTATGAGCCGCAAAGCCACCATTGAATTAACGCAGTGAGAGAGCTAACTATTTCTAGTGTTAATTTCGTAATACTATTGAAGATTGTTTTCCAGCAACTGGGGCACTGAAAGCGATCCCAGTCAAAAATATCACACCGGTAATACGGATCCTCGAGGTTTTGGGCATATTGGTATTATGGTGCCAGATGTTTATGCAGCTTGCAAAAGGTTTGAAAATTTAGGTGTCGACTTTGTCAAAAAGCCTGACGATGGTCGCATGAAGGGCTTGGCATTTATCAAAGATCCTGA